TTTTTCTTTCTTTCTTTCTCTTAAGATTTATTTATTTGAGAGAGAGAGAGAGAGAGAGGTAGGGGGAGGGGCAGAGGGAGAGGAGAGAATCTCAAGCAGAGTCTCCAATGAATACTGAGCCCGGCTTGGGGGCTCGATCCCACGACCCATGAGATCAGGACCTGAGCCAAAACCAAGAGTCAGTTGCTCAACTGACTGAGCCACGCAGGTGCCCTGCCATCTCGGTCATTGCTATGCTTACTTTTACCATCTATTGGCTGATGGATCCCAATGTATTTATTTCCTGCCAAGACTTCTGATTTGAGTCTCCTCCCCTTTTCTCCCATTTCCGTTCTCTGTATTATCTGTCTATCCATTCATGCATGCACACATCTCTCCATCTATCTTTCTAATATGTTTATCTATGTTCTACTGGGCATCTCCATCAGGTGTCTCACATTCTGCAAACTGAATCCATTATCCTCTCCCACAAACCCAGATCTTTAGGTGTGGCTGAACTCAGGGGACTCAAACATGATCATCAAGACAAAGCCATGTTTGCTTCATCCCTTGGCCCTGCTTTCCTCAGGGTTGGCATCATTCCCAAGCATTTTCTACCATTGCAAGAACAACATAGCTCCTAATAGATTCATAGAAAAAGAGATTTTTTCCCCCTTCCCCATAGTTCTATTAAAAGTCTTGGTACTGAATCTCTATGGCTCTATCTGAATCATGTGTCCATTCAAACCATTCAAACTGTGCCCCAAGGTTATCCCATGCTCTCTGATTTGCTAGCTTTAGGCCATGAGCTCACTCTTGTAATTGGGGATATGATTAGCTTAACCCAGTCACATGTACTGAGAGTGGGGGAGGTATGATTTACCACAAATCATCTTGGGGATGTGCTGTTTTCAAAAGAAGTAGGGGATGCATTCTGGGTAGGTTGGACTACTCGTCTCCCATTTGGGAATTTTAAAATACACTGGCTTTCTTAGACCCACTGCCTGGCTTCACATCCTCAGTGTATCTCCTTTACTTTCAGGATGAACTTCAGACTCCTTACCAAGGCCTTCAAGTTTCTATCAACCTCCTTGACCCCATCTCAGTTTGGCTCTGCCTTCCTTACTACGGTCCAACCACACTGGCTTTAGTTTGTATCTGATTTAGGTCATTCTCTTTTCTGCCTTAGAGGCTTTAAACATTGCTATAGACTGAATGTTTGTGTTTCCCCAAAATTTATAGGTTGAAATCTTAAATCTCAATGTGATGGTATTGTGAGGTGGGGACTTTGGTTGATGATTAGATCATGGGGGTGCAGAAATAAATTTCTGTTGTGTATAAGTCTATGGTAGTCTCTTATAGTGACCCAGACTTTTGTTACAAACATGCTGGTCCCACTGTCTGGAGCTTTCTCTTCCCTTCTATTTCCCTATCCTCATACTTTTGCTTGACTCGTCATCTTAAATGTCATTTCTCTAGAGAAGAGTTCCTGATTTCTTAGAGTGAGGTTAGGACCATTAACTATTCTCATGGTCCCCTGTACTTCTCCACAGGACTGACTACAATTCTAATAGTAGAATTCTAATTCTAGAAGTCTAGCTAATCCTTTTTGTAATTACTGGTCAGCCCTCCACAATGGACTTTATGCTACACGAAGGCAGGGATTGTGTTTTGTTTAATATCTTATTGCTAAACCCTAGTTCCTGGCACAGAATACGGCACATGGGAGTAATTCAGTGCATATATACTTAATGAAGGAATGAGTGAAAAAGTGAGGGTTTACATGCTGTCAGAGTCAGCTTGGGCTGTCATGACAAAATACCACAGAGTGGGTGGCTTGAACAACAGAAGTTGATTTCTCACCGCTCTGGAGACTGGAAGTCCAAGATCAAAAGGCTGGCTTATTTGGCTCCTGGTGAGAGATAGCTTCCTGTCTTGCAGGCGGCAGTCTTTTCTCTGTATCCTCACACCAAGTGGAGAGTGGTGGGGAGAGCAAGCTCTTTGGTCTCTTCATAAAGCACTAATCCCATCCTGATGACCTACCCTCATGACCTCATCCAAACCTAATTACCTCCAAAGGCCCTACCTCCTAATACTATCATCACAATGGGGGTTAGTATTTCCACACATAAATTTGTTGGGGGACACAATTCAGTCCATAGCATTACCTCATTTGGTCTTTGATAATTTCACGACATAGATTCTGATTCAGGATGAAGAAAAGGAGGCTTAGAAAGTTGAATCTGCCCACAGCCACTTAGCTAGGTAGTGACAGAACTTGGAAGTTTCAAACCTAGGAATATCTGCCTTAAAATCAACTGAAGATCTGTTGCCTCATGAGGCATTATCTTGTTTGGTTTTGAGCCATTTAGTCTGAAGGGAAATGTGATAAGTGTGTGAAGCAGGAATGTAAAGGGGATGGCAAACGGAGAGGCGTCTATACAGTACAGAGCAGGGGAACACCTGGATACTGAGGGAAAATATACTGAGAAAGGGGAGTTTGCCCCCAGGAAGAGACTCGGGCAGGAGTTTGACAGGAAACTGGACCCTGGAGGGTTGGGGGTGGAGTTTGGGATTATGATGTCAACCACCATCAGGGAAATATTCAACTCATCTTCTCTCATCTTCTCCACCTCATTTCCAGGTCCCAAACCCTTTTGCTAGCTCTGACAGGTTTTTCAGAGCAGGAAAAAGAAGAGCAAAATAGGAAGAACAAAAATAAGACAGCCCCCACCTTACACTGAGGCAGGAGACACAAAAACCTCCCTGTTGAATAGATCTTAGAATAAGAACATTTCTCCCACACAGAACCAGTGTTAAGATAAAGGGTGACATTCTCACAGTCCTCAGAAGCCTAATTAACTCATGATGTTCTGGAGCTAGTACTAGTAACAACATGTCTCAATTCAGAGAACCTTGATTGGGTTCCTTTTCTGAAGCAGGAACTTGGGAAACCGTTGAGATAGAAGGAGCTGTGGGTGACTTCCTCTGCCTTCGGGAAGTTGTCAGCTAGATGATGGTTTAGATACATTGGGGCACCAGTCCCTTATCTTGGCCACTGTTTCCACAGAAAGGTGAATTCTCAGTTATGGTACGCTGGGTGCGGGCCAGGCCTGGAACATACTGACCTTCCTTCCTCTCGTTCCCTTTTCTCACCCTCCCATTTGCAGCCACTCCTTCAACAGAGTGCCGCTACCGGCCTCTTGGTTCCTGCCAAGAAGGAAATTCAGGAGCTTGGCTTACCAGTGCACTGAAGTTGAAGCCCTGAGTTTGACTATTAAATAGCCATTTGGCCATGAGAAAGTCACATAGCATCTCTGAAGTGAAGGAAGAAATTACATCCTCCTTAGTTAACCTCATTGGGTTCTTGGGGATTATTAAGTGATTTGCTATGTATGTGCTTTATAAACCATAAAGCATTACATAATGCAAACAACTGTGGTCATCCTCATAGAGCTGATTAGTGAGGTGGGGCCTTAGACATCCCTATTGCTGCCCCATAGTTTCTGTGTGCCAGGCCCTCTTCTGAGCATTTCATATATCTGCAGAGCAGACCAGTGGGGGTAGGTACTTTTATCCTCATTTTACACATGAGGAACAGAGAGGGTAAGGACCTATTCAGGGTCACATAGTAAGTGGCAGAGTTGAGATTCAAAGGCAGGCAGTCACGCTTCAGACCCCATTGCTAACCTCCAAACTAAGCTGCCTTCTGTGTGCTTCCTTAGTACTCTCTGTAAACTCCTCTGGGAGCACTGGACAGAATTATAATTGCTTACCTTAGTGATAAATAAGCTACTAGATTAGAGGGACTGTATCTCATACACACACACACACACACACACACACAGTGCCTGACACATAGTTAGAGCTCAGTAAATATTTGTTGAATGAATAAATGTCCTCTGGGGAGATATACAGTAAGTCTGATACAACTACTGTGTTTTTCCTTTATCTTTTCTTGGCTAGCTACGCTCATTTCCCTCAACCATTTCCAATAAGAAAATGGTATTTCTTGCTGACTTTATTGTTCTCTTTTGCATTTTCTCAAGTTCAACAGTGACCCATCTAAAGGGAAATGTCAGAATGCGAACACGGATCCAGTGTGGCTATCTTCTCCTGCCTCCACGGTGTATAATCATTATCCAGGACTCTCCGGGGCTCACTCCTGCCCCTGAACTTCTTGTATGTCTGGACAGTTTCTTGACTATGAAACTAAGTACCCAAAGTGACCCTTAGGCCTTTACTAGTTGTCTAGGTAGGTAAGTAGAATCCATTATTCTCTTCCTGCCCTCCCCTCTCTTCTCCACTCTTCCCTTTGATGGGAGGAGCTGTAAGGAAGGAAAAGGGATTCCCTATAGTCCTAACTGAAGAAAACAGGTTATGGTTGATGAGGGAGTTGTGGCAGGAAACTGCATCTCTGGAATCCAGAGAATGTCAGTTTTGCTTCATGGCATGACTACAGTGGGTTTTCTTATTAAAAAAAAAAAAGCATCATTGGCTTCATATATTGGACTATATTTAAAGGGATTATGATAAGACACAAGGTTTGAATTTGGACATGTTTTGAAAATTCCTGTATTAAAGTGGGCAAAAATATTTGCAGTGTTTCTGTTGGGCTCCCTAAATTAGCAAAGTACAGACTCTGGTTCTCATCAAGACTAAAAAACTGACAAAAAGCGAGATTCAATTATTAGATAAACAGGCAGACACGCACTATAAATTCTCTATTCCAATCAGTGTTTTTATGTTTAGTTGTTTTGATTCGAGATTACTTTGGGTGACTAAGTGCTCCACTGGACACTCCGAGCTCCATTCTCTGAGTCGGGGTCAACGCCTTCGGGCCTCAGAGACATCCCTTGCGGGACCGCAACCCACTTCGTGGAGGGCGGGACCTCGCCGGCGGGAGCGCGCTCCCAAGGCGTCGGCGGCGGCGGGGGTCGGGGCGGGCGGAGGAAGGAAGCAAGGCGCCCTGGGAGCGCGCGAGGCCTCACGTGCGCGCTCCCGCCCGCCAGCCTGCGCACACCGGCGCCCACGCAACCGCCCGCACTCCTCCCGGGAAGTCTCGCGATGCCGTAGCCGGCTGCTCCCGCTGCGGGTGGCTCTGGCTGTTGCTGTGGTTGCCTGAGTTGCTGCTGCGGCGGCGGCGGCGGCGGCGGCAGCGGCGGTGCTGGTGGAGGTGTCGGCCCTTGGGCGGATGTTGACATTGTGTTGTTGTTATTGCTGATGATAATGGCGGCGGCGGTGACGGCGACGGCCGGGACCCCATCTCCTCTGTAGCCGGAGCCGAGGCAGCCAAGATCGATCTCCGCGGCCTCTGAGCCCGCGGCAGCGACTCCCCTCAGCCTCCGCCTCCTCGCCAGCCCTTATCCCGGCCCCAGCCCCTGGAGTCAGGCCCCTTTGGGCAGGGGGCCTTGGAGGCTCAGGATGGCGGATTTCGACGAGATCTATGAGGAGGAGGAGGACGAAGAGCGGGCCCTGGAGGAGCAGCTGCTCAAGTACTCGCCGGACCCAGTGGTGGTCCGCGGCTCCGGTCACGTCACCGTGTAAGGCCCGGAGGAGGGGAGGGCGAGGACGGGAAGGTGCAGGGCTGGGGTGGGCCCCCCTTCCCTTCCCCCTCCCCCCGTACTCCTGGGGAGCCCTCTATACCCGGTGTCCGTCTTGTGTCGAGGCCTTCGGGAAGAGTAGGCGACCAGGAAGTGAGAACTTGCTTTAATTTAATTTGTTTCGGTCTCTGAAGTGGGGACAGACACTGCCCTTCCTCCCCCCACCCCCCCCCAACCCCATACCCCCTTTAGCGGGCCCTTTAGGCCTGGGCGACGTGACGGATCCCAGGAGGGAAGGTTTTTCTTTAGGGTCTGCCCTTTGGGCCACCCCTTCAGCTTCGGGGTGGAAGTACACATATTTATGAGGTGCCTCCCCCTTGTTTTCTTACCCAGTTACCCTGTGGTTCTCTCTCCTCGTCTGTGCCTTTGAGCCTATTGACATATGGCTCTGTGGCCAGATCTGGGCCATATGAGACCCCAGTGACATTTGGCATTGAGTGGTTCACTGTCATGCCTGTGCCTTTCACACACACTCAGAGGTCTTCCCAGTTTCTTGCGGAGTCAATTTCTGCGGACGTAATGGAGGTTCCTGTAATTGTATATGATAAAAATGTATAGATGAACCTATATTTGAGATATGCAGAACGATACATGTTTACAACCAATTTTTAAAAAGAAATCTACGTGATGGACACACACTGCTCAGGTTACTGAGGGCTCTATGTAATCTAAGTCTCCTCTGGGCATGAACTCTGGGATGGTTTCTTCATTTGATAAGGGTTCCTGTAAATCTGATTTGCAACATTTAAAAGTCCGATATTCAGACAATAAGGAATGAGAGCTTTGTAAAGAGTCATGACTAATAAAGGAATGTGAAGACTTGAACCAAATAATGAGCTGTCCGGAAGCAGGAAGTTTTGTAATGTTTCTCTGAGAAGTCCAGAGTTTTGTACAACTTGAAGTATTTATATTCTTCATTTTAGATCTCCTGTTCAAATCCTAAGTCAAACTTCAATGCTTGTCAGGTATCTCCACACTTCACCTTTTTAGTAAAATAAAAGGGCCAGCAAGTCTGAGACTGTCTGGAACAGTTTCCATTATACTTTTGGTGTAGGGTGAGTGGGATGTGCAGTGAATAACTTTTAGTGAAACGGTAAGACTTCTCCTTTGAGATTGTCAGCAAAATCCTTGCATTTCTCACTACGTGTTATGACCAGCCATATTGTTGTTTGGGTATCCTTATGTAATGCTTTGATTTCTTTAGCACCTGTTTATGTTCAGGTGACTTATAGGGTAAAAACACTGCATAATTACTTGTCACAGCGCCATGGGAAGACAGTGGGATTTATCACCACAATAGCAGTTACTTAATGTTTTAACTGTCATCTCCAGCAGAATTAAGAGATATCGTGGATATTAAATCTCTCTTTAACATATATCACAGAACTTTTTTAGTCTCATGGCCTGCCATGTAATTTTTTAGTTTGACTCTTAGGACCTTTTTACCTTGTTTTAAACCTGAGGAGTATATGGATGCTTAAAGAAGGGATTTTTCAATTTCTTTCATGCTGTCTGCCTTTCCTCCTATTTTCCTCTTGTCAAAGAAAAGCTGGCAAAGTTTTGTTATTTAAAAAGGTGCTAGTATAGTTGTAATGTTTCTTCTGTTTAAGGAAAAGAAAAACTAAGCACTTTGTTGGGTAAATAGAATATAGAATAGATGAAGTGCTCAGAACCAAATAGGTGATTAGTAAATTTGATTGTAGTTGGGTACTTAGGTTAACAGGGTGGAGAAGAATTATTAGTGGTTTTCAGTCTTACTGCCCTTTAGAATTACCTGGAGAGATTAAAAAACAAACAAAAGAACAAAAGATGGTGCCTTCTCCGCAGGCCAGGTCAGTTGAACACCAGGTATCTGAGTGAGGGCCCCAGGCAAGGATAGGTTTTTTTTTTTTTTAAGCAAGTCCCACAGGTGACTCTAATGTGTAGCCAGGGATGAAAACCACTATTCCAGAGTATGAGGAGGAATTTTGTGCCGTCAGTAAGCAGTATGCCTGTCTACATTGGGAGTTAATTCTGTGATCTCTCTCAGTCACTTTATCTCTCTTCCCCATTACCTTGGTTCTAGGCTCTGGTTTCAAATCTACCCTCTGCCACTTGGGTAGATTATTTATGCCTCTTCAGTTAAGACAGGGATCATTATAGTTCTTAACTTCTAAGATTATTAACGATTAGACAATATATGCCAAGAATTCATCACATTATGTGATACTGTGCTCAATATTAACCTTCATTAATTATCCTCCACACTTACAGTGCTCCACTTTGAGAAACATAAGCATAAAGCACAGTACTAAGAAATCAGAACTGCCATTTTCAGACCTAACAGTGATTGACTTTAGTCCTGTTTTTCCATTTCTAAACAATTTATATATTTAAATTGCTATGTGAAGTACTTTGATGAAAATTAGTACAAATCTTTCTTTATTGAAAACCTAAACCTGTTTTGTGGTGACATAGATAAGTAGAGTAATAGTAATACGGAACTTTTTTTTACATGACTCTGTCATGCATAATTCACAGGCATGCTATGCCAATTGGTAGCCCAGTTAGTGCCTATAAAGGTTTTTGAAATTGGTGCTTATGGGTTACTTTAACTGTTGAGCATGTTCTGTTTTTCTTACCTCTAAATATAAATGGGAAGAACTAGTAACACAGTTATGGTAAAACTGCCACCGCTCCCACCCCACCTGTTTAAAACTAAGGAACTCTTTAGAGCAGTCTTCCCTTACTGGTTTGGAAGTAAATGATACTGCAAACTGAATCAGCTGTAAACCAGATCAATCTGAAAAGATATAGATTCATCCACTTATGTTTTTCATAGATTTCACTTTTGAGTAGACCTTTATACTTTATAGTTGAATATTTTTGCTCTTTTTTCCCCTCCCTACTTCAGTGTATTGTATTATAGTATTACTCTTATTTTAGAAATCACTGTATTCTCATATGACATGATTTGGCATGCCATTATAGTGATGTGAGAAAGTAAGTTACTTTCCATTTTCTACTACACAAGGTCAGTTTGGGGGCATTATCAGATTTTGGGGATATAAGGATAAGAAATAATAGTTTGTCTAAACAAAGTCTGCTTTAATGTGGTTTGTAATATAAATATATTCATTTTAGTTATTTATTTTTAAAGTAGGCTCACGCCAAGCGTGGAGCCCAACGTGGGGTGTGAATTTACGACCCTGAGATCAAGACCTGAGCTGAGATCTAGAGTTGGACACTTAAACCAACTGAGCTACCCAGGCGCCTTGTAAATATTTTTATATTGACTGCAAATCAGACTTATACTTTGTACTTCTATCATGATTAGTATTCTTTTTTGACATCCTTCTGGATGAGTTTAATAATTTTCTTCATTGTTAGATTTGCATGTAGCAGTATGGAACAACGTGGCAGTTCCAATAGGGAGATACACAGAAGCATGTTTTGAGGAAAAGTGGTACTTGAAGGAAGAGGGAAATAAGTTCCTTAATATTTATATATATGTAATTTAAAAGACTTGAGTTCACACTTCAATTAAGTTTGTGTGTGTGTGTGAGAGAGAGAGAGAGAGGTGGGGAAGGGAGAGAGTGTCTTCTCATTATGTATGTAATGAAGATGAGGGGAAAAGTGATTAACTTATTAGGTGGTGTAGGCCAGGTTGGTTAATATTTTAAAATTATGAAGTTTTTTACCTGTCAGTAAATTTTGCAACATATAGTGATCATTGTTGAAGACTGATTTTTCACGATGATGATAGTGCTAAAGGATGTTAACCTAAAAATTAGAATTTAAATCTAGTTTTTAGGCCAGTATTCCCTAGCTGATCTATCACTATAACTGACATTATTTACTTCTGTATCACTTCGTGCCCTCCTATATCACAATCACACTTGGGGCTTTCCTAGGGCATAATCTTTGACTTCTAACTTAAGCCCTGTCAATAGAGCCAAGTTATTTTGCTAAGGTTTGTTTCTAATAATGTTATTCTCTTTTAATTTCACTAAATTATTGTATCTTCATGTACTCTCTTCTGAGGTATAGTCTTCCTACCATCTCCACAAATAATTCCTCATCCTTCAGCACCAGTTTTTACCAATGGCTGTGGAACTCACTCTCTTTGCTTGTCTTCATCTCAGGTATGCTGTGGAAAATTGAAAGATTTAGAAATGTGGCTTAAAATGAAAAAACTTGGAAACTACTTTGGGGCACAATAAGATCTTTGCATAGGAGATATCACAAGAACACCTTGACCTTTCAAATGGTAGAGTTAATAAAAAATAGTCTATCTTGAAATGTATCAGTATTTCAAGACTGCTATCAGATGCTGTACTTGGCAACAGGAGATCTGAACATGATTTGCCCAAGTAACAATCATTTTGATTCAACAGTTTTTTTTAACTTTACTGTTTTCACCTCCTTTCTCCCACCCAGCATGATACATAAGGCATATTCCATTTTTAAAGATTAAAATTTTTGAGATTTTTGAAGACCTTATTTTGATGTTTCTCCATAAAGCTATAAAGTTCTTTGAGGGCAGGAATTATGTTTATTGGTCTTATTTCTCCACTATTTAATACAGTGTCTGGAATATTATAAGTCCTAAAATGTTCTCTAAATAAATGAGGTAATTGCATACATCTTTGGACCTTGTCATAGTTGCCAAAGGAGTAACTGTTTTCCTCCCTTCTGAACCTCCTACTGAGGTAAACAATATTTTACAATAGAACTCTTATAAAATCATATTCAGAAGATAAACGGCTTCTCTTTTTTTAAACAAAATTTGATAATTATGGGGAAGTTATAAAATTAAGACATTTTTTCCCCCAGAGATTTTTCTTATTCCTTATCATTTGAAAGGAAGTTAGTTTGATTTAGAATATAGCATTGAACATATCTTTTGAGAATACAAAGGAAAAAAAATGCTAAATAATTGGACCAACTACTAAAACTTCTCAGTGGGTAAACTTTCTTGAAGAAATGAGGAATGTGGTAATAAACTGAAGTTTCCAAAATTTTACTGTATTTGAGTTTGAAATTTACATGGTGTTTCAGTCCAAACAGTTCAGTGTTGGATTTCTGCCTATTAACAGATGTAAAATTGGTGCTTAAAATTTTATGTGACTAGCTAAGTGGAATACAGGGACTAAATGGTGAAAAATAAGTTACATGAAATTATTTATGATGGTAATTACTCAAATACTATTATTCTAAATAACATTACTCTGAATAATAATATTTCTTTAAAGAATAGCATTTTTACTTTGAGAGCTGCTCTTGAACTCAAACTTGAGTTTATATTCCTAATAGGTTAAAGGCTCAGGATATTGGACCAACTGTACTCAGAAGGGGATCTTTTATGTCTCTCTAGTATCTGTGTCTGGTTTTGCTTTCTAATCTATAAAGCTACTTAAGATTTTATTCTCAATAAAATTAGACTTTAAGTATAACATGTAGCAACAGATAACTTTTTAGTGTCCTTTGTTATCTTCTGTGTAAGATTTTTTGTGACTTTTCATAATTTGTTTCAGAATCCATTTATAAAATCAGATCGTAAACCAGACTTTCAGTGTTCAGGTAGTCTAGCTTAATCCCAATGCAAGATTTCTTAAACTTGCCTGATTATCAGAATCACTAAGAGCATTTTAAAAGATACACATTTTAGGTTCTTAGCTCTGACATCCCTGGTCAGAATCTTTAAGAAGAGTTTAGGAATTGTTATTTTTAATAAGAGCTTAGGCGATTCTCATATCATATCAGACACATTTAGAAGCAATTGATGGTATGTGGAAAGAGTATGGTCTTTGCTGTTAAGCAGATTAGTTTTAATTCTCAGATATTTCCTAACTGTAACCTAACTGTAACCATTAACCTTTCTGAGCTTTAGTTTTCTCATCTGCAAAAGGGATAATGTCTACCTCAGAGATTAGATGTGGGAGTCAAAAATAATTTAATGTCATGGACCCACAGTAGACATTAAGCAAATTATTACTTATTACATATATTGGTGTTTATCCCTTCATGCACATTTTTTGGCTAATCTTTACCATTTTCTTGGAAATCCATCTAAAAGTTAACGTTTGCTTTCCTGCTTTTAAACAAGACCCTGAGCATAAATCAGAATTATTCGATTGAGTTGAAACATTTAATCAAAAGCAGATATTATCAGGTTGGTACCCAGTGATATTCTTAGGGGTCATTGAGGTATTTTGGGGTTTGAAGATCTCTAATTGGCGCTTCCTTTTAAATTCACATGTGTGGGCTTTTCCTTTGTGTTTTACTTCTTCTGTCTATCTAATGGATGAACTGTAGGTTGGGAATGAGACAAGCAACATTATCAGAACTACGAATAAAGAGAAGTTTGTTCTGAGTACTGGATTTAGATGCTTGAATTTTAATACTTGGGTTTTAAGATACTTGTTTCCTCAGAGAATTTTTTTGCTTAAATCCTTCCTTATCAGCTGTCTTAATTGAGGTTTCCTGGTAAGTAATATAACAAGCGTTTATTAAATTTTATGGTAGGTATTATTTGAGACACTAGGTACATCGTAATGAATAAAACAAACCTAGTTACCCTGTCCTCACAGAGCTTATAGTTAAGAGATAGATTATGTCTGAGCAAATTGCTTTTAGGGAGCCCAGTAGAGTGCTGTGACTGAAAATAATGTGATTAGGGAGAAGCTCTCTGAGGGGTAACATTGAGGAATGATGAAAGTGTTCTGTGAAGAGCATCCCAGGTGTGGAGAACAGCAAAATTAAGTCTGGCTGGCCTGAGGAACTGAAAGGCTACTTGTATGCTGTGGCCAGAATATAGTGAGTAAAGGGGATGGAGCCGTGACATGAGGATGGTGAGCTCAGTGGGGGCAGGAAAGGATTGTAGAGGGATTAGAGTAAAACTGGGGAGAATAGTTACGAGGCTGTTGAATGGTCTAGATGAGACAAGATCGTGGTGATGGTCTCTAGATAAAAGAGATGTTTTGAGTTCTGTCTCTAAGTCATCAAATTTCATATGAGGTCTGGAAAGCCAGCGGTGGCTGCATGTGCCATCTCTTTCCCCATTTCCATCTCATTCTCATTCCCATCTCATGTTTTGTTTTGTGTTTTTTGTTTTGGCTTTGTAAGGAGTCAGGTCAGAGAACTGTGGCTGCCCTTACTGTTGACTGGAGACTGTCTCGATGATATACCTGCATTTCCTGTTCTGCTACCACAGGGCAGTTAGCACGCAAGGGAACAGCATGTGCTGGAAGGAGAAAGGGGCTTTCCCACAAGATCAGAGATTTTTGAAGTGAGGAACTTTGTAAAGTCTTACCCTTTAGATACAAGATGTGTGGTGTTTGACAATGATCTGTTTATTAGATTTGAGGAAAGGACTGTGCTTTTTAAGTCTTTACACTTAAAACTAAATTGAATACACAAGGGCTGAAATTTTCTCACAAAGACCTGGACAAATGATTTTCTCCTTAAGCTCTTCTCCATTCTGCCATCTATGTAGGATCTTACCATCTAAGTAGACCTAAACTTATTTAGATTAGAGTTGGTTGGACTTTGGGATAACCTACCTTTTGTTTGTTTTGTTTGTTTTTTGGGTTTTTTTTTGATTGTGTGTGTGTGTGTATGCTTCCTGCAAGACCTCCTTTTTTAATTGTCTTTGATCTTGTGTTGTAGTTATAGTGGAGTCCTTGGTTAGTCTAGTAAAGGAATTCCTGTGTACCCAGCCTTCTTTTTCTACTCTTTCTAAACTATTGTAAATGTCACTTGAAACTGATATTTTTGGTAGTTTATATTATAATCCAGTTCAACCATGTATTGTTTCTTAAATGAACATAGTTTATCATTATTGTGTTGCTCATAAGATTTATGTAAGTGTGAAGAATATTCTAACGTATGTATAAATTAGATAGTTGAGTTAGATTAGTTGAATTCGTATATCATCAGAGGTTACTACCCATGAAGCTTAATCAGTATAGATTTACATAACTTCCATTGTTTAACAACATACATAATC